TTTTTTTCCCTCTCTCTCTCTCTCTCTTCCTCTGTCCTGGCTGGCTCTATGGACCATCTCCTATTTAGCCTCTTTAGCGTGTCTCACATGTTCTCCATCGTTCGGCCTCCTGACGATCGCTTGTGTCTAGACTTCGCTCTAGTGATGCTGACGAGGCAATTTTATTAATTACTACGCTAGTTACTCTAAAGGACAGGGAGCAAAGGCCCATGGCTTCTCCAAGAGGTTATACTTGCTTGCTTTTGTTCGAATCAGAATCATACCCCGTACATCAATCTCGAATACCCATGTGCCTTGAGATTAGGTAGCCTGGTTGTACTATAGGTTGAAAATCAATAGAGCCTCAATCTCCTGATATTCTGTAATTAATAGGGAGGAAATTATCAGATTGTTCATTCCAATACGGCTTATAAACATGTCCCAGGTTTGCCTCCAATTCTCCCAACGCCTGGATCCTCTTGATACAGAATAAAGTAAAAGCGTAGCAGAAGATATACACTACAAAATAACGGAGGAACAGAATGCTGCCTTAGCATATCTTCACTCTTCCATCGCCGCATCATTATCACCGCCCGCGTTGTCGCCAAACAAATCATCTGCACCATCGTCCCCATTCTCTAATACTGTCATCGTCCCGGGCTGGTTCTCTTCTTCTTCCTCCGCCTCCTCCTCTTCTTCTTCGTCGTCAGCAATCCGACGATTTACCTTCGCTCGGCGTCGTTGAATCACGTTTTCTCCATCTTCATCTGCACCGGTATCAACCATCTCCTGGTCGTGATCGGATTCCGCCGCCGGCGTCGTGGCGGCTTCGGCCCCGTCCTCCTCATCGGAATCCACCACCAGCTCACTGCTCTTATACTTGCTCTGCGTTTTTCCGCCCGACCGACGTTCCAGTCGCCGCCGTTTCTTGGGGGCCGCTTCACCCTCGCTTTCTGGGTCTGAGCTTCCAGCCCTGGTCGGTGATTCGCCGTCACTGATAAAGTCGTCCTCTGCCCGCTTCTTCTTGCGTTTCGTCGAAGATGATTTCTTCTTGCGTTTCACCTTAGTGCCTGTCTCCGATTCCGTCGTTAACTCCGCTTCCTCTCGCGCGCGTTCCTCCTCCGCCCGCTGCTCCGCTAATCGCTGTGCTTCCTCCACCATTCGCTGCCGTTCCCCTGCAATTCGCTGTTTGCGCTCGCGCTCTGCCTCTTGCGCCTTGCGAACTTCCTCCTCGCGCCGGCGGATCTCGGCTTCACGAGCCTCGCGAGCCTGCTGAAGTTTAGCCGCATTCTTATCTTCGTACTCCTTCTGACTCTGGAGGGCTCGTTCGAGCTGTTTGATGATTGTCTTGCCCATGTTAGCTCTCTGTTCCAAGGCTCCCGCTGGGTAAGGAGGGTTCTTCGCCTGGGAAATGCGTCCGAAAGATTCGACCGCCTCACGAAGACCATCAGAGGCATCCTGCACATCTTGCACAGTCTTCTGCGTCTCCGGTAGACTGTATGCCAGAGAGGCGATCTGATTTTGTACGAACGCCACATTAAATTCTAGATGCACCTGGGACGGCGCGACAGAATGCGCACGTCGTGCATAATCCAGTGCGGTCTTCATAGCCGACAAGCTCATCTCTTGTTTCCCTTTCAGCAGCCATACTCGGCCTAAGCATGCTAGAATCTGCGCATCACGAGCACGGTCTTTCGATAGCGCGGCCTCGTAATGCTCGATAGACCGCGTGTGCTGCCGTAGTTCCGCGTATACATGCCCAAGGTTTAGGTAGACACTAGAGTCTCTCAAGGTGTCCCGAATCTTGGAAAATATGTGCACTGCAGTGCTGTAGTCCTTCTTAGCATCTACCAGAGCAATGGCAATACCCTGAGCCGCGTAAGCATTCTGAGGATCTAGCTGAAGAGCTTTGTCGAAGAATTCCACTGCCCGCTCGTACATCTTACGGCGCTTCTCTTTCTCCTGATCGGTCTCACGGCGCATATCGCGTGCTGTCATGAGATGGACGTTACCCATCCCAGTCAACGAGTAGCGGTCGTGTTTGTCGAAGTATTGCAGGGTATGCTTGTAGTGACGTTGCTCCTGGTCCTCGGCCAGATTTGCAACCCGTTTCTTAGACTTGCTGAGGTACCAGCCGAACAGAGCACGGACCTCAAGATTCGTCGAATCGGCTTCGTACAGCTTGGCCATCCTTTTGGGGCCTTCATCCGTGGGGCTCTGCCGTAGGGCAATATATGTCAACCTAGCGCTTGCTTCCGTATAATCACCGTGACGTTCCAGGAGACCTTCATACACCTTCTTTGCTTCTTCCGACATGTCAGAGGCCTCGTATGTTCGTCCGAGATTATAACTGATGGTCGTGACCAGGGCGTCCGTGTCATGCTCGCTTTCTTTCTCCTGTGATCGTACGCAGGCATTCAACGCCGTTTCAAACATAGTTCGCGCTTGGTCTACCTTCTCAGCATGGTACAAGAAGCAACCCATATTGCTGAGAAGCTGAGGCGGTAGGTTTACTCGAAGAGTAGCTTTGACCTGCTCCTCATTTTCAAGGCCTTCTGGATATTCATCCTCAACAATCGCTGCCAGCTGCAATTCTTCGAGCTGAGACAGGCACAGCATGCTCTTCTCCGGGCTTGTACGCTCATACAAGCGGGCCAAATACACCAGAACTGACTCATCCGGTGAGAGTTTCTTGCCTTCGTCCTTCCAGAGGGCGCGAACCGATTCTAGAAGACTGATTGCCTTTTTGGCTTCGGCTGACTTGTCTTCCCTGCTACCAAATTTCTCGGTCGCAAAGACCTCCTCTGCATAAAGCGCACCGAGCAGTATCATGCATTCTGGGTTCTTAGTTTGCTGTATAATCTTCTCCAGTCGAAATTTGGCACCATCATAATCTTTATTAAACACTTGCATCTGTACCGTGCCGAATCTGGCAGGCAAATACCCCTTATCACCGCCACCTCGAGCTTGGTCAGAGCGATTATAGAATTCTGCAGCACGAGGAAGGTCGCCCTCGTAATGCGCCTTACGACCGAGCAGAAACCAACCATCGCTAGCTATTTGCATCACGTCCGTGTGCTCGATCGCTTTGCGTGCTAAGGTTTCGACCGTAGAGTAAGACTTCCTCAAAAGAAAATAATTCCCAAACAAGGCGCCAGTCATGGGGTATTCTTTATCCAACTTAAAAGCTTTTTGTGTGTACTGGGTCATGGCCACCTTATACAAGGAGCCAAACGCAGGATCCGTCGTGGCGTGTCGGGAACTATCGTAGAGGTAGTAGACGGCGAGTAGAATATTGGCAACTTTGGAGTCAGGGTTCTACAGAGCACGTACACGATCAGCATGTGGTGTAAAAGGATAGTATTGCAGGATCCACGTACCAATGCCAGAGCTCGTTCCCACGCAGCTTTCGCCTGGTCTTTAAAGCCCAGGTGCCACAGGCAGCACCCAATACCAATGCGAGGATCAGGGTCTGTTAAGCCAGGCATCTTCATTAAAACACTCTGGTAACCCTCCAGTGCCTCCGCATATCTTCCAAGCATGTACTGTGCCCTTGCGCGACCAAGAATTGCCATCACATTTCTACCCCCGAAGGCTTTTGACGACTCCTCGAAGCATTTAAGAGCCTGTCTAAGAGACTCAACTCGCTCGGACGTGTCAACTGTACCAGGACGAGCTGGCTTTGGGGGATGCAACGATGCGCGCAAAAGGGACAACACTCCGCGGGCTAGAAATAGGGGCGGGAAAGCTGGGTTCAGGCGAGATGCCTCATTTAATGTCGACGTCGCCAATTGTAGGTAATGGTCCTTTGTTTTAGCTTCAGCATACAATTCTCCTTCGGGTGCAACTCGTGGCGCTTGTCGGCTCTTCAACATAAGCAACCAGCATACCCAGCCCAGCAAGCCGAGCTTCTCTTTCGTCGCTCCATGAGCGACCGATGCCAACCCTTTGTTGAGGATGTCGATAGCATGGTCGATTTGCTTCTGTTTGGCATAAGCGAGCGCGATAATAACCCAGAAATTTTTTGCGGCCTTTTCATTCTCTAATAGAGTGCAAAGCTCCGTAGGATCGTCCGGAAGACCTTCCAGACTGACCTCGACCTCGCTGTCCAGGGTAGATGCAGGAATATCAATGGCAGAAGGAATGTCCGAAAAACGGAAGTGCGCCAATGATTTAACAGTGGAATGTGTTTCGCCATTTATGCCATTGGTGTGATCACTTCGTAGGGACGCCATGGCGCGTGAGAGGTGTTCCTTTGGAAGTCGATGAGACATGGAAGGTGTGGTGGATGTCTGGAGAAGGGATTGTTGCAAGGTTCAGCTCATGATCGTACTATATGAAATGATTGCCAGTAAAACTGAGAAACACGTCCTCCTGCTGAGACCTCGAGCAGGAAGAGCGTTCTTAAATTATAGCAATAACTCGAGACGACAAAACCGGCAGTGTTGCTCTCAACTTGGTGCGGGTGTAGTAGATTGAAAGAGTCGGAACCTGAGGCTGGAGTCCGTGCTGAGGCTGGAGTTCCACCGCCACATGTGGCTCCGATATCTTAGCTCTACCAAGTAGTCACACATTTTCAATCAATGATTAGTTTATGATTCCTGCAATAGAAAGAAAGAAAGAAAATAGGTAAACTTGGATTATTAGCCTACATCGTACGTCAAAGTGGATTGGGGGAGGGAAAGTGAACCTCTTTACGAATATAATCATCCTCTAAATGCATCTCTCATAATCATAGTAAGAATAGCTAATGTTAAGACATATAAAAGGTAAACTCTTGCTTGTCAAAAACCCAAGAGTTTTGGTACTTTGCACAGAAGAGCAGCGCCTATTAATACCATGAATATACGCCCGACTTCACTCCAATGTCCCAGTCTAACAAATACTTCCACGTATCCAGCAGCGGCGGCAGCTTTTAGACTTTCGGAAACGCCCACGTTGTGAACAAAGCCCCCTAAATCAGATGGAAATCTTCCCGTCTCGAAGTATTCATCAAGCAGCTGGTCCTTCTCCGTCCACCGGGCCCTGAGCCAGGCATCGAATTCCTTCTGGTCATCTAATGGTATGTCTGATACAGCAAATCGTCGCCAGTACATATTGACGGATGTCGGGGGTCTTCCCTGAAGATATGTTGATCGGAGCGTGAAGTATTTATCGGGATAGCTTCCTTTTCTACCGCAGAAGTTAGTCGTGGACTTTTTTTGCTTC